TATGTTGAATGTTTGTCTGTGATTTGTGCATATCGAGATCCTTGTGGGTTCCAACATATACCAACATCTAAGTTTCAAAATCATGATTCATATGACTTAAGTTTGGTACTAAATAAAAGTTTAAGAATTTAAGATGTTCAATGAATTAATGTCCATTTGAGCTATAGCCGAAATTATATTTAAGATTCGGATAAGTTATCAGTTAAAGTTAAGAATCTCAACATCCTATTGAGAATATTATGAGCATAGTACTTAGTAAATTTGTTTATATTTTATGTAGTTACAGATACAGTTACCAGTACAACACTTACAGTTTTCAAAAGTTTTCAAGAAAGAAAGGTGGGGACCCAGACTGGGTATTACATTGAGTATAATAGTTATTATCATGTTCGAGGTATGTATAAAGTTAAGTAAAGTATTAAGCTCGCCCAGTCAAGACTGGGTTCTGTAGGAGGCGACCCCCAGAATGTGATCACGTGAGAACCGGCCCAAGTTACCGGTAGTTGCAACGTTCAAGTTAAAGTTACCGGTCATATACCGTGAGATTAAGCTCAGATATATATACCAAAGATCATGATATTGATATTATAATTACTGTTTACTTTAGTATGGGTTTTTACGGAGTACAGTGAATTAGTACTCACGCCCCACTATTATTATTTTCAGGTAACAGGGTCGGTGCAGAGGTGTGAGATCAGCTATGGTGGTGTGGATCGAGAATTTGGTTCATTTATTATATTATGGATTTTTAAAAAGGTTTCGGTTTGTATTATACCACGCTCACAAGATTTCCGATACGTTTTTCAGATATTGAACATATGTGATAAATTTAAAAGATTTATCAAGTTTAGTTTTTATATATGTTCGATAATTAAAATCTGTTTTATTATATCTAACCAGTTGTAGATCAAGTGTTGGAGAAGACAGATTTTAAAGAAGATAAGTTTTAGTAGCATCCCGAGCGAAGTTAAGAAGATTTTTGGAAAATTTATAAGTACTTTCAAAATAAGAAGTTGCAAAAAATTGATTCTGATAAGAGGGGTGTTACAGTTGGTATCAGAGCTAAAGTTCAAACGCTCTGTATACTAAAAGTTTGAGTTTCAGAAAGAAACTTTTCAGGAAAAAAACCGACCACACCACGCTCACACCTCGCCGACTACCAGGTAAGTGCTGTTAAAGTTTTTACAAAAGTTTATTTTCTTAAATATATGCAAATTACTAAGTCTATGCTCAATAAGATTCAATTATCCGAACCTTAAATATTATGCTCAGATCAATAATATCAGATATGTCCTCATATCCGAAATCATATATGTCCTCATATCCGAAATCAGAATTATATTAGAATTCAAGTTGAATTATAGCTTATCAAGTTGATAACTCGTTAAGAAATTGTGCTTTTCAAGAATTCAGTATTTATTTTCAGTTTAAATACTGATCAGATTCAAGTATACAGATGGCACACTGTAAAGTTTTACATGAGATATTCATTCAGATATAGTTGCTATTTTTGTGACTATAAATTTTTAAAGTTTAAGAGATCAAGAAAGTTATCTGAACATTTTAAAGATAAAGACATCAGATTAAAGTTGAATTCTGACTCTAGAAATTGATTTATTTTGAGTATGTACGGTGTACATAAGTTAAAGATCTGAAGTAACAGTTTTTCAGTGTATAAGAGCCATCAGTCCGGGTTTATCATGGAGGTTTGAAATAAGAATTGTAAGTCCGGATATACCATGGAGGCTTGAAACTGAACCGTACGAGTAAAGTTTAAGAAAGTAGTCAATTTTTAGAGTCAGAAATAAAGGTATCTTATCAGTTAAATACCAAAAATTTTTAGTTAGCAATGTTCAGGAACAAAGTTATCAGTACTTGTATGATCAGTCTTACATAGTACGTTTCATAAGTTAATAAGCATGAATTTAAAAGTATCAGTATATAGAGCTAAGTATTTTCATTATTATCATGGCGACTTGAAATAAGTGTCACAATGCCGGGTAATTACCAGATAAAGATCAATGTTCTTGAATTTTGAATAATTGCTTTTAATAGCTAATTAGCTGGGTAAATTATGGAGACTTGAAATCAGAGTCATTAATCCGAGTTTACCTGGCACTTGGACAGACATCAGTCAGTTCAAAAGTTTCACATTCCAACATTGAAAAGATCAGTTAAATCTCTCAAAAGAGTTTTTAAAAGTAATGTATAAGTCATCTGGATATGTGATAATAGTCTGTTTAATAAGACAAAGACGAATAAGTTTCCATTTATATCCGTCAATACCAGAAAGAATTATTCAAGCACACTGTTGAGGATTTCATTACTACAAAAGAAGCTATTACAGATTCATCAGAAATAACAAAGCAGATGCATGATAAGCAGATAAAGCAAAAGTGAATCCTCAACTAATTCAAGATATATATATATACATATATATATATATATAAGGAGGGTGCGTCTCAAGGGTCTAATACCCCTTAACTCTGCCACCCAAGTTTAGATAAAGGTTCATAAAGATAAATCTGGTGGATCAGAAGTTCGTTTCTGCTTGATCCTTGGAGTTTCCACAGAATCTTAAGAGATGTTTCCTTGAAGCTTTTGGATAAGTCCAGTAGCAGTATCTGCACATTTGATAATCTCTCTAGAAGAAACAGAAATAAAAGTCTGAATTACACTATCATCAAGAAAACCAAGAAAGCCTTTGAAGATATGTTGAGAATTTAATAGACCAATGGGTTTATTATGGAGTTTCATGTCAGCCCAAGATGCAATAGTAAACATGGTCATTAAAGGAAGTATGATGAAAGCATCACTAAGGTTCAGCATAAACATAGTGCAATCATAAAAAGAGTTAGAAAGCATCAGACGAGAAGAATATTTGAGAACTTGTGAAGGAGCTCTATGAAAGGGTAGAACGCTTTGCACTTAAACATCAAATCATTTTCCAGCCAAGAGCAGATTATCAAAGAAAGTGAGGCTAGTTCCTCATACAGTAAATTGATCGTTTGTTTTCCCAATTCTCGCATTAGTTGGGATACAATATTGATATTTTGAGAAGAAGATACAAGTTTAGATCCTCCAAGAACACAAATGGTTTTTATAGAAGGAAGAACTTTTGTAATTTGAGAAGATTCAGAAGTATCCATACTCGAATTGAAGAAAGGAGGGGATATTTAAAGAAAGAAAAATTAGTATTATATTGACAGAAGCAAAAGACAAGGAGGAAGTTGAGCATTAAATGAGATGTATTATCAGAAGAAATCAGTTACCTTTTAATAAGGGGGTTAACATAGATGGATGTTGCAAACAAGATCTTTAGCAACAATATTTTCGAGATTATAGCGGTTTTGTTCATCTTTGAAATAGACCCATAAAGACATAAGTTCTCGATGCACATATCCACTGGGATGTGTCTCGAGAATTTGTTGAATGGTTTGATCCAGAGATTCATTATTCAAGCCAGTTTTTATGAAAGCTATTTTATCTTCTCGATTTTTGGACGCAAAACCCACCGATTTGCATCGAGTGTCACAGTTCCAACGAGCACATTTATAGCAGTCACCTATTCGTTTTTCTCTACGTTTCTTGGCAAGAGTACTTCTACCCATACCAGACAGATATTTATAAGAATTTGGAAATTCTCCAAAGAGTCGGACGTTTGCTTCAATCAACCATCGGATATCATTTGGAATATTATGGATCATTAGCACTCTCAATCTTTCCACTCGAGATCAATAAATCCTTTTTATGATATTAAAAGGAAGAAAGGAATATAATTTGCGAATATTTGAAAATGCCGAATCCATTTGTTGTTTCGGACCATTGCTGAAGAAGGCTGAAGGATTAGCAAGCCGGTTTATAAAAGATCGAAGCGTATAAGGTAAGTTTCTGAAGATAGAGTTTGGCATTATTATATTCCTAATGTCAGAACATGCAGCCAGTATGCAATTAATGCGGCAGAAATCTGTTATGAGATGTCGGCAATAATTGAAGGATGAATTATTGTGAAGTTGAGTTGTGTCGGTCAGCATTATTGAGGACAGAATAATTCACCTCGATAGGTGAAATGTGGTATGATCAGTAATTGGGTAATTTATGCAGTGCAGTAATTTTCACATCAGTTTTATTTGAGATATATTGGAAATATTAAAGTCAGAGGAATATAAGTGTTGATAGTAGTTTTGATCAGAAGGTTTCCCGACGCAGAGGCAAGTTCAGTACAGTTGATGATGCTAACGTATATGTAATTTTTGCAGGTATTATTGACATTGTGAGTACACACATGTAAATGTTCCACACCCGAAGGGCCCCGGGTAGTGGGTACATCGCATGCAAAGTGCCACATAGTCATGTTCTGTGTAATAGGACGCAAGTTAAAGTGTTTAGCATTACCATCATTATGATGGAAAATGATCATAGAAATAGTTGTGTAAGTCGGAATTCAAGAAAGGTGCAAGATTGCTCAGAATTGGCAGAAGTATTCAGTTGATAAAGC